ATTAAAACTAAAGATAAAAATATGATAATGTATATTACAAAATTCTGATAACTATGTAAAATGCATATATAAATTGAGTACTTACAGGCTGTGTAATAAGTTTTATAGTTTATATTTAACCCTCACAGTAAAATGAGATGGTTATGATTAGAATTCTTAATTTATAGGTGAAAACATGAATTTGAGAGAAGTGAAGTAACGTTTCTAATATCACAGAGCAATTAAGAGCAGAGTCAGGAAACTGCCTAGCTTCAAAGTGCAAAATTTTAACAAGGATAAATATTCTTTTGGAGACAACTTCATAAGACATATCAAAACCAATAATATCTAAGTATATTGACTTGGTAATTCCACTTCCATAATTTAACCAAAGGAATAAAACAAGATCAATTGTGAAATTATAAAAAAGCATATTTATTATCGCATTATTTAAAATACCAAAGAGTATCTTAACTATCACTTTTTATCTCACTTATCAAAGTGAAAATTTCTGTTACAAGTCTTCTTCCATTAATTCTGCACTCCACCAGAAAGCAAATTTGAACTTCCTCCCTATAAAAGAAGGCATATATAAGTTGAGTACTTATATATTGTGTACTAAGTTTTATGGTTTACATTTAATCTTCACAATAAAATAATGAGGAAGCCATGATTAAATTTCAGAATTTATAAGTGAAAAAACGAATTTGAGGGAGGTGAATTTCCTACTTATAAGTCACATAATACATTTTGTTAAGACCTGTTCTGTTGGATATGCACAGATCACATAACCCATATGCATAGTTTACATATAAAACAATATTATCCATCCCAATTTATTTGAAATTTAATTCATCTAGCTCAACATCATTATTTTAAGTAATAAGTATAATAATTCAAAGAAACATCAATCATAAAAAGCAATATAGTAAGTGTAGAGTTTAATACCATGGACTTTGACATGAGAGTGCCTGGGTTTGAAGTTCTCTGCCACTTATTAGTGATATGAACATGAACAACTTATTTAACTTATCTGTTCACCACTTCTCTTGTCTATAAAATGGGTCTAATTATAGAACCTACTTCATCTGTAAAATGATGATAAAAATAGTACTGGTCCCCCAAAGTTCTAGGGAAGAATAAATGAGTTAATAGTAATAAAAATGCTTAAATCATTGCCCAGCACATAAGTGTCATATATGCATTTGTTAAATTGAAATTTTATATATATATGTATATATATATAGTTTTTCCCTTGAATTTTTTGGAAGCAGTTGCTTTTGGACTTAATAATATACTTTATTTTATCAGACAATGAATATATTATATGATTTTTATTTTTTAACCTAACCTACTAGGATGCTAAGAATTAAATTAAGCTGCAGACAAAATAACCTCATCCATCCCATTTTCTTCTATTTTTCTCTTCATCAATGCTTCATGTTCTCACTCTTTCTTTTTTTAATTTACTTTCTGTTGAATGCGTTTTAAAGTAGGCCTGAGAGTATTGTAAATATAGATTGGGCATGGGTTACAACATTATGACTAATAATTCTTGTGCTCAATTATTTTGAATTCTCATTTATTTATTTTAAAAATGTATGTATATATGTAAATGGTCTATTCTTCTAGGTATGGCCAGGATTATCCGTATACCCTGATTTCACTAATCCAAGCTGCATAGAGTGGTGGGCAAATGAATGCAGCATTTTCCATCAAGAAGTGAAATATGATGGACTTTGGATTGTAAGTAGCTATATTAAGCCAGTGATTTGGTACAAATAATATAATTCTTCTTCTATCATATAATTATCAAGTTGACAAGATACATTTTATACTATATGAACATAAAATTAAAAGGTCTTATAATATTTTTTAGAATGTATAAGTATTATACCTGTTGTGCTCACGAGTTAGACAAGAATAAAAACTAAAAGCTGAAAATAGAGATTTTGTTAATCTTTAGTAATACACTTTATAGAATACATTTCATTTCTATTACTGAGGTGTTGTATATTTATGACTAATAAGTTATTGTTGAAAAAGCAGTTAACAAGATTTGACAATAATCCGATATTAGTACAAATCCAAAAAATGTATTGTCTACAGTAGTCAGCAATTGCAGTAATATAAACCTAAATAAGCCCTTGCCCTTTAAAAACATTTTTTAGTAAGTTATAGTATAGAACAAGTCAAAATTGGCTATACATTAAGTGTTTTACCTCAATATAAACAACAACAGCAAAAAAATCCTAGATATCTGATTTTAATGTAATATTTATTACATAAAACACAAATCTTTAAAAGCTTCCTTGGATGAAGTTTTCTATCTGTAGATATTGATAGCCTGCTTCTAGGTATGTTTTATGGAATAATACTGTATGATAGTAAACGATTTAGTATTTTTGGTTATGGAAATTATAGCTGCATTTGGGAATGAAACTATTTGGTGAGCCTAAAAATCTTTATTTCAGAAAAAAAGTATAATAAATCTGAACAGAGAAAAAACATCAGAGATTTTGTTCAAAGATATTGCAATAGTCCAGAATTTTGGAAGGAGAGATAATGCGATTCCTGGGGATAGCTATCTTTTCTTTGACTGTTTAGGTCCACAATATTTCTATTTCCTTAAAGTCTTTAATACTCATTCAGTCACTATTTTAGATAATCATTTATTTATAATTCAAACAATTTGTTAGATAACAAGTCTTTATCTTGCACCATGAATATATCAGGTATTTTGTGGGTCATATAAAGATAGGAAAACTATGTTTTCCGCTGACAACATGAAATTGAGTAACAGGATAAGCATAATCATCAGGATTTCGATGATAGTAATAGAATGAGATGGAGAGGCTTTAGTTATTAGACAAAAAACCTGTGAGATCATGATGATAATACCTAGCTGCTGGTAGAAATAAAAAAAAAATGCATCTGCTCTTGAGTTTTGTTTTCAATTATATTATTTAATTTAAATTGAAAGTTCCTTCATTCCCTTTTCTCGCTTGCTTAGGAAACAATTTGAGTTTTCTAGAATGGAGTTAGAATATAAATGGTACTTTAAGAATAGTGAGAGAGAAGATGGCTGTACTGTGGAAAGAGAGAATACTCCATTTCCTACAACCTTTCAAGACTGAAATACCTGATACAACTCCAAAGAAACAGGGAATGGGAGGAGGAAGAGCATCTGAGAAAGGCAGAGTCGTTCTGAGGCTAACATAGAAGCATTTTGACTAATGCTTAAAATATAACAACATAACATAATAATTAAAATGATTTCAAACCTCACTAAATATCACTGAATTAATTATACTATGTATAAAGAGTGGGAAGTTCTTATTGGAATGAATGCCAAATCCTATTAAGTTTTTTTTTTAATTTCTTAATTTTCTTTGCATTATTTTTTTCTGATAGAATGAATATACAGTAAAAATAAATGTCATTTAACTGACTTTAAGTCAATTTTAAAAATAGTTTTGTAGTTTTCTAGATATATAATTTAGATACCATGCTAATTTTTTAAACTATAAGTTTAAATATTGAAATCACTTTGAAAAAGTATGTGAGCTAAATTGTCATAGAAAAAAATTGAACATAATAGTTCAAGTAATTTAATAAAATAACTCCAATATATATTTTAGAATAACTACATAACTTTCCTTCTTTGTTGTTAAGAAAAATATTTGGAAAAAAGAAAACATTTACTTTTAAAAATCTTATTCACAATGATACATGTATTCTTTTCAGTACCCTTAATTTTTCACACTAATTACATGTGGGTATGATATGGATGGGACAAGGGAAGAGTAACAAAGCGAACATACTTCTGAGGAAAGCAAAATTAGACACTTGATTAAGCGAGATGCCTTTTTAAGAGTAGAGACGAGATGTGGGGAATAAGGCTCAAATATGTACAAGGTGGGGCAAAAATAGGTTTACAGTTGTTCATATGGAAAATAATTCAATAATTAATAAATAATAATATAATAAAATACTCTGTGTTTTGCATACTCACAACTATAAGCCTACGTTGCCTCAACCTGGATAGAAGTACTTCAATGCAATTAACAGAGAAGGAAAAAGAAATATGTGTTTCTTTTTATTTATTTATTTGTTTATTTATTTAATTTTTATGGATTAAGGTATTACATATGTGTCCTTTTCCCTCCATCGCCCCCCACCTACCCCCACTCATGCCCTCACCCCCCTGGTATCTGTGTCCATTGGTTAGGCTTATAGGCATGCTTACAAGTCCTTTGGTTGATCTCCCCCTTACTTGATCTCTCCCCCTTACTCCAACTCACCCCTACCTTCTCTCTGAGATTTGATGGTCTGATCGATGCTTCTCTGTCTCTCTGGATCTGTTTTTGTTCATCAGTTTATGTTGTTATTTATATTCTACAAATGAGTGAGATCATGCGATACTTATCTTTCTCTGGCTTGTATTTCTTGAGCATGTGTAGTGTGGTGTATGATTAAAATCTCTTATGTTTTTGTTTGTTTTGTTAATCCACACCCCAGGATATTCTTCCATTGATTTTTAGGGAGTAGAAGGGAGAGGGAGAGACAGAGACAGAGGCACAGATGTGAGAGAGACACATCAATTGGTTGCCTCCCGTATGTGCCCTGACCAGGGCTGGGGATTGAGCCTGCAATCCGACCAGGGACCTTCAGTCCACAGGCCAACGCTCTAACCACTGATCAAAACTGGATAGGGCTCTCTTATCTTTTTTAGTCTAAAGACTTTACTTAACTGGTTATGGTAAAAACAAACAAACAAAAACAAAACAAAACAAAAACCCTAATAAGTAGCAAGATAAGTTTAGGGACTAGGTTTCCATGGCAAAAGAATCAGTAAACACGGTACCTCACAACCTTGTCTCCAAGATATGCTTAGGCCACTGGTTCTCATAATGTGGTCTCCTAGCCCCAGGGTTCCCAGACACCCTTCCAGGGACTCAGTAAGGTCCTAACCCTTTTTATTAGGATACTAAAATGCTATTTGCTATTGTTCGCTTTTATTCTCTCATGGGAGAATAGAAGTTCTGGCCAAAGCATGTCCTGCCTGGTTGCTAGCAATGCACATCCTAAAAACTAGATATATGCCAGCTGAAATGAACAAGCTATGTTGAATAAATAAATGTGCTAAAAATGTGTAGTGATAGACTCACAGTGAAAAGAGTGATACAATTATTTAGAAAAGGCAGTTGCTTAGTACTTGTAATTAATACTTTATATGTAAAATTAACACTAGGTAAATGAACTACATTTTGCTCATATACAATTCCTCAATCAAAGATACCTCTGCTATTTGTTATCTACATTCACACAAAAGCAAATGATATTATTTTTCTCAGTATAATGACTTGTTCAGACCCAAGGTAGAATCAAGTAGTGAGTATAGATAAGCAAATTTGTCTTTAGCTTGGAAGCTTATATTTATCTCCTAAAAGCAAAACAATGTGTTTGCCTTAGGTTTAAAAAAATGCAAATAACTTAGGTTTATATGATTTATTATTACTTCAAGTCTGCTGTCCTTCAATTTATATCCATTTAGGACATGAATGAAGTTTCCAGCTTTGTTCAAGGTTCAACAAAAGGATGCAATGACAACAAATGGAATTATCCACCTTTTACTCCTGGTAAATTTCATTTGGTTATCTACTTAGCATTAACTGTCGACTGGTAAATTCTAGCATATATATTCCTAAATCGCAAAATTTGGTAAAATTTTGAGACCCTGAAATCGATATTTTTGTTTTTGTTTTACTTTTGGCCAAAATATGTATGCTTAAATAAAAGAGAATGATTTTAAATTTTGATATAGCATGTTGATTTATTTTTAAATCAACATGCTATATCATGTTGCTGGTGATTAAGTAATTAATAAAAAGAAACAAAATTTGTTTGAAATCATAATTGAAGTGACTGGTTTTTTTCATGAGCACTTTACTATAAGTCTGTGCAGTTATCAGAATGTGCTTGATGAGAATAGTTACATCTCACATATTCTAAAAACTTTTTTTATCATTTAATGTGGGTAAAATAAATAACCAAAGAAAAAAATGTGCTCTTAATGGAATAAATTGCTACAAGGACTGAAGAAAGATGACAATAATTATTGTAACATCATATATGCCAGCAAATTAAAGTACAATAAAAAAACAAAAATTTGAATGGTTTGTAATCATGTGACAAGTCTACAGGTATAGAATTAGATCATATTTAAGTTAACAATTATACTATAAAGCTTTCAAGTGTATCTATAGATATTTGATATACAATTTAAATGTATATATTTCTATACATACACATTAAAGGTTATTTTTTCCTTGAATTTATTTACTATTGTAGTTAGGAAGCAGAGTGTTAGTGAAAGTGCAAATTTAATGTTTAATCAACAGGAGCGGAATGTGGAGACCTAGTTGGAAATTAAATTCTCATTTTTATTGTTTTTTTTTAATGAATATGGCATTACATATCATTTAAGAATTATAAAGATTAAAATATATCTTAAGAGAAAAAATATCTTATTTAGAATTTAAAATAGCAAAGACTTTGTAGAAAATGTTCCTTATGTATTTTCTCCTAGATATTCTTGACAAACTCATGTATTCCAAAACAATTTGCATGGATGCTGTGCAGACCTGGGGAAAACAGTATGATGTTCACAACCTCTATGGATACAGCATGGCTATAGCTACAGAGAAGTAAGTGCAATTCCATTCAGAAACTTCTTTCCTATTTATTGTCTAGAATATACTTGATACTTTACTAATAGAGTTGGAAAATAGCACACATGTAAGAAAAATAATATTTTCATGATAGAGAAATTAATATATTAAGAGCATCAGTTCTTTTAGTATTATTCATGAATTTGGAACTTAGTTATCAAGAATAATATGGTGTATGTATTTAACTGTGATTCTCTTTGATTTTAGAGTTAAAGTACCCTTCAAAATTTTGATTGAGTTTGCTTCTCTGAATATAATTGTGTTCTAAGCATAAACTTCACAATTGGCCTGGAAGGATGGCTCTTCTAGAACAAGTCTTTAACTATTTTTCAAAACCAGGTTTTCAATTAAAATGTAATTTTCTATGCAGTATCTCCTAAAAATGAATTTTCTAATGTAGAGTGTTACCTATGTATAAAAAACAAAAAATGATACAAAACAAAGGAAGGGGACATCTTCTTTATTGCCTACTATTTTTCAAGCATTGTATAAAGACCTATAATGCAATAGTCAATAAAACCTAGATCCTAGTCTCAACAAAGTTTTTTTTTTTTTGATCCTCACCTGAGGATATTTTTCCCATTCAGTGTCGACCTATGAACCAAGAGGTCACTGCTTTGATTCCCAGCCAGGGCACATACCTTGGTTGTGTGCTCAATTCCCAGTAGGGGAGGAGTAGGAGACAGCTGATCGGTATTTCTCTCTCATCGATGTTTATGTTTCCCTATCCCTCTCCCTTCACTTCTCTCTCAAATATATATATAAAAAAACACATATATGTGAAAAAGAAACATCAATTGGTTGCCTCCCATAGGCACCCTGACTGAGGCTGAGGATCAAGCCTGCGACCCAGGTAGCTATGTGCCCTTGACCAGGAGTCAAACCCACTACTCTTTGGTCTCTAGGCCAACACTCTAACCGCTGAAAACACAGGCCAGGGCAATTTTTAATTTTTATGTAATTAAATAACTACAATTTGGTTTTAATTCAAACTCATGTTTATATGGTCCTAAATCATACCATGATATGAAATTTTTTATACAATGTCTTCTCAGTGTTTGTTTCTTTACCTTTTAAACCCAGTAAAACATTACATATTACATTACATAAATGAGTAAATTGTAGAAAGAAAAAACATTATAGTTCAGTATTTTAAAGGTAATAATATAGAAAAAGCACCTGAGAATTCTATTACAATTTTACTAAGATAGTCTGGATAATTTTATATACTGAATTAAACTTTTGTATCTTTTCCTGATTATTTCCCATTTATAGAAATAAAAAGTTGCCATTAATATCCAGGTACCAATAGAGATGAGATGAATAATTCTAGTAGTTGTGAATGGTGAACTTCTAGAAACAAACAAAATAAAATACTTCTCAAATACGTACATTTTATCCCAACATTGTTTGCTGTTATTTGAAAATGCAAACATTAATTAAAATCATTGTAACACAAAAATATGTATCGAGTTAAAGTTCAGATTTATACATTTTATATTAAAAATTTTCAATGATTTTAAACTATATATTTCAAAAACAAATGTTGAGTGAATAAAAAAGCACATGTTTTTATTTAATTTGATAAAGGAAGTGATTCAAATCGGAATCATTTCTAGAATATTGTTGTCTGTGTTTGAACAGAGTGCATTTAAATAGTATTAATAACTAAATATAAATTGGAATAAACATTGATAAAATAGTTGCAAATATTCTGGTGTGGCTCTAGGAACTGTATGTAATACATATATTTGAAATTGAGACCTCAGAACTTCAAATATTAGTATTATTTTTTAAAATCTTATTTACTTATGTATTTAAAATATATTTTATTGATTTTAGAGAGGGAGGGACAGAGAGAGATAGAAACATTCATGGTGAGAGAGAATCATTGATGGGTTGCCTCCTCCTCCACGCCTCTTACTGAAGATCGTGCCTGCAACCCCAGGCATGTCCTTTGAAGGGAATAGAACCTGGGACCCTCCAGTCCTCAGACAACTCTCTATCCACTGAGCCAAACCAGCCAGGGCAAAAACCTTATTTAATAATTGGATTTTATTTGTAGAGCTGTGCAAAAAGTTTTTCCTAACAAGAGAAGCTTTATTCTGACGCGGTCCACTTTTGCTGGAACTGGAGTCCACGCTGCACATTGGTTAGGAGACAACACCGCTTCATGGGAGCAAATGGAATGGTCCATCACAGGCATGCTGGAGTTCGGTTTGTTTGGAATGCCAATGGTAAGCAGTTTCACGCAATGCTATTCATCAAAGTAATTTTGTAATATTATTTTGTAATATTATTATCTTAATGATTTTCACTACAATGATTAAAAGTATGTTACAGAAAATTAAATCTCTAGATTTAGGGAATTTATAAAAAAATAGGAATATAGGTAATGTCTATAACATTCAGGAACGTGGAATAAACAAAATTCAATCAAATCAAAATAAATTCATGAAACAAATATCAACCTAAAGCATATAAAGGTTTATATGTTAATTGTAAAGCACCAGATAAGATAGTAGAGAAAAATCCAAATAAAAGTAAATGTCAGAAGGCTAAATATATTAAAATACTTGTTAGTTCAGGTTAAAAAGTAAAGCTTTTCTCTCTATTTTAAAAAGATGAGGACAGAGATTTTTAAAAGAGTTTAAAGCAGAGAAAATTTATACTAAGAAATTTTAAACATAAGACATTTTGTAAGTCTCTTTATATTAAGCAAAAAAGTATATAATGTTCATTTAAACACTATGAGGTCCACTACACAACAAAATAAATACATTAGGATACTATAGGATTCATTTATTTTTTTCTTTTATATGCACTGAACAAAATAAAAACAAAGAACCTATCAAATAATAATAAAAAAAACACAAACACACACAGAATCTTGATTTTGGAAATTAAAAACCACATTATCAAATTATTTATGAGTCAAAAATAAAAGGAAGAAAAATGGATAGAGACACAAAAATTGAATGTTAATAATTGTATTTATATCATAATGGTGAGACATTAGCTAAGTTGACATTTAGAGTAAAAACATATAGTATTAAATCAGGGGTCCTCAAACTACGGCCCGCGGGCCACATGTGAACACAAATATTGTATTTGTTCCCGTTTTGTTTTTTTTTACTTCAAAATAAGATATGTGCAGTGTGCATAGGAATTTGTTCATAGTTTTTTTTAAGCTATAGTCCGGCCCTCCAATGGTCTGAGGGACAGTGAACTGGCCCCCTGTTTAAAAAGTTTGAGGACCCCTGGTATTAAATGCTTAGACTCAAAACAAAAAAGGCTGAATAATAGATACTTCTCCAAAGTAGACATACAGAAGTCCAAGAAACATAAAAACATGCTCAGAGTCACTAATCACCTGAGAGATGCAAATCAAAACAACAAAGAGGTATCATCTCACACCTGTCAGAATGGCTATCAAAAACACATCAACAAACAACAAGTGCTGGCGAGAATGTGGAGAAAAGTGAACCCTAATACACTGCTGTTGGGAACACTGACTGGTGCAGCCACTGTGGAAAACAGTATGGAGTTTCCTCAAAAAACTAAAAATGGAACTCCCATTTGACCCAGTGATTCCACTTCTAGGAATATATCCTAATAAATCAAAAACACCAATCAGAAAGAATATAATCACCCCTATGTTCATAGCAGCACAATTTACAATAGCTAAGATCTGGAAACAGCCCAAGTGCTGATCAGTAGATGAGTGGATAAAAAAGCTTTGGTACATTCACACCATGGAATACTATGCAGCTATAAAAAGGAAAGATATCTTACCCTTTGAGACAGCATGGATGGACCTGGAGAGTATTATGCTAAGCAAAATATGCCAGTTAGATGAGTATCACATGATCTCACTCTTATATGGAACGTAATGAACAAAATAAACTGATGATCAAAATAGATCAAGAGACATAGCTGCATGGAACAGACTGATGAATCTCAGAGGGAAGGCTGGGATTGAGGGTGGGAGGGGAGAGAGTAACCAGGGAACTTGTATGTATATATGCATAGCCCATGGACACAGATAATAGTGTGGTGAAGGCCTGGGAGGGGGGATGTGGGGTGAAGGGAGTCAATAGGAAAAAAAAGGGAACAACTGTAATACTTTCAACAATAAAGATAATTTTTTTGGAAAAGGCTGAATATTGAGTAAAGTGCATAAATTAAGAAAATGAAAGAATAAAAACAGAATAAGCCTAAAGAAAGACATAGGTAATAAAAGTAAGAAAAAATGTTAGTGTCATAAATGTAAAGTCTCTAGAGAGAAAAAAAAATAACAAGTCAAAATACAAAGAGAACTGAACATTTGAATAAAAAAGACCCATCTATGGAAAGTTTTGTTCAAAAGCAAAGAAAACATAACGAATGGTAGAATGTATTTTGAGATTAGTTATTTATTTTAGTAACCAATTAATAAATATTAACCAGGAGTAAATGTTAAAAGTGAATGTATAAAGAGACAATGAAGTAAATAAAATTTAAATTAAATATAGAAGTAAAAAGAGACAATGAAGAAAAAGAATAATGCAATTAGATGCAAGTGTGTAACAAAAAATGCCAAATATAGAAGCTTGGTTAAAGGAGAATATATGAAGACAGTGGAACGAAATGATTATAAGTCATGCAAATTAATCCATTGAGGCCAAAAGTGTGTTATTCTGGCATATTTGAGAATTTTTACATGACAAGTGATAGATATGTTTGTTGTCTAGGTCGGAGCAGATATCTGTGGATTTGTGGTGGATACCACAGAAGAGCTCTGCAGAAGATGGATGCAACTTGGGGCATTCTATCCATTTTCCAGAAACCATAATGCTGATGGATATGAGGTAAATTCCTCTTGCTTTCCCTGTTTTGAAATAAAACATAATCCTACTGTTAGCGAAGTCCTTAAATTGATAGCTATACAAAATATGGTATGAAAGCTTGTAGCATAATTCATGACCAAGAGTTAGAAGTCCTCTTCTCAAGGCCTGTACGTATTTTTATATAAAAATGGTCAAATAAAGAAATTATGAAACATAATGTAGTCACTATATAAATATTTTATTTAAACCTAAAGCATATATGAGTGTTTTAAATCACAAATGTTTAAATTAAAGCCAAATATTTTTCAGTCTGGGTTCTTGGATTCTAACAAGTTCCATGTAATTTTTCTTTCATAAAATGTATAATCTATAGTAATAATAGCATAATATGCTAATTAGACCAGACATCCTTCTGGACGCCCTTCCAGGCGATATATTTTATTTAAACCTAAAGCATATATGAGTGTTTTAAATCACAAATGTTTAAATTAAAGCCAAATATTTTTCAGTCTGGGTTCTTGGATTCTAACAAGTTCCATGTAATTTTTCTTTCATAAAATGTATAATCTATAGTAATAAAAGCATAATATGCTAATTAGACCAGACATCCTTCCGGACGCCCTTCCAGGCGATCTTCTGGACAAAGTCAGGGCTGCAAGGGAAGCCCAGGTCCTGGGTGACAGAGGGAAGCCGGTATCAGCAGCCAGGGGAAGGAAGGCCTACCCTTGCACAAATTTCGTGCACTGGGCCTCTAGTATACTATTAAGGATTTCCAGTTTTTGTTTCATTAAAGAAACAACAACAACAGAAAATTAAAGTCACTTGCAAAGCAGTTTGAGTCCAGAGTCTTTCTATAATAAACAAAACTGGAATGACATATTGGGATAAATAAAACTAATGCTTTTAAAAACATGGATCTGAGCTAGTGGGAGCATAAGTACAGGACATGCTGAGCTATTCTACCAACTCTGAGATTTCATGCTGTGGGCTCCCATGGACATATTTTTCAGAGGGAATGGGGAAACTAGGGTAGACCACTGAGTCACTTAAATGTGTGGTGGTTAAAAACGTATTTGCAGTTCACATACTGATTACATATAGGGCCTTAATTCTGTTTGAGAAGGTGTACAACAATTCAGAATTTAACCTGGAAGGAGGCATAATAGAACAGAAGTAAAAGGTATACATTGGGGAGAAGTCACTTTCTAGTCTATCGAAATCGTGCTTTCAAGAAATTTGTGTTTCTTGGGAGATACTAGTGTAGGATAAAGGGAAGGGAGCAGGGGAAAGTGGAGAGAGCCTTCAGATCACAATTAGACCTGAACATGGTGTGATGAAGCTGAGACAGGGGGGTTCATAGGGAGAGTCATGTTGGGTTATAGGGTTCCTAATTTGAAAGCATTTCAGTCAGTCCCATGTCACATCCTCAAGGGAGAGGTGAGCATTAGAAGACTCATGTATCTCTCAGAATTGGGCTTGAATAGTATTCTCACCATTCTAATTGATGAGCTGGGAGCAGCCAAAGGAAAATTTGGTTTCGGAGTAAGAAACATGATGCCGAATCCAGGGAGGCAGTAGCTGGTACTCTTAGTTAACTCTGTTACCCATAAAGCAGGAGATGTAAGCAGGTTTGAGCACATCCTTGTACTTGGCTGAGCAACAGCTGACCTAGCTTAGGCTTTGCGGAGAGGCTCTCCTCCAGGTTGCAAGTCTGCAAATGGCCAGGTAGTTCTGTTTCTTGAATCCCCGGGACATCAGACTACCTAGGCTTAGTATTCGAAGGCGATGGTCAGGCTCCAGGCAGCAAGTCCTCAGGAAGCACATTTTAAACCCTCACTTGAATGCGGCACATGGCCCAGAGTGTGTCACATAGCTGAGAATGAAGCCAAGCAGTGGGGAAGTGTGTACTCCCCCTTTAGTGTTATGGGCCACAATGTTACATAGCAAAGGTGTGGATACAACAAAGCATGAAAATGTGATCCAATAAGTCAATCTACCACAAATAATATCAGTGGAAAAATTCCTTCTTAAAGTGTATTTTTATCTTCTTTTTGTGTATTTAAATGAGAAAAATCTACTTTAAAATAAAGTTTAATTAAAAAATATCCAAATAAAAACTAGAAATGTTCATATACTTTGATGATGAAATAGGAGTAATTTCATCTTTTTATGAACAAGCTAAAATGTATACAATTTTCTTTTCAAAAATAGATTAAATGCTTCTATATTAATTTTTATTCACATTTTAGCTTTCTTATTTCAGTTTCTCTTTTTATCCCATAGCATCAAGACCCAGCATTTTTTGGACAAAATTCTCTTTTGGTTAATTCATCAAGGCACTATTTGAATATTCGTTACACTTTATTACCTTTTCTTTATACTCTTTTTTATAAAGCCCATACGTTTGGAGAAACAGTAGCAAGGCCATTTCTTCATGAGTGAGTACAATGTTCAAGAACTTTTATCTTTAAAATTATACTTGCTCATATATTAATAAATTAATGGAGATAGATCGGGATGTCAAGAAGATTTCTACTCCTTATTTTTACATTCATATAAATGATTTGATGAACTGTAGAATGATAGTAGAATGGTGTTTTGGACAAGATTAATGGAGAAATGTGAGTCTTGAATATAATTTAGAAAATGTAGAGAAAGTATAGAGAATGTACTAGGGAAATTATTTCAGTAAGCAAGATTAAATATAGAATTATTGAAAACATATCATTTATATATTGTGAAAATCACCTAAATATAGAAAAAATGTAATATAGTGGGGGGGGGGAGGATAGGGAAACAGCAACAACAATGAATTGTACTTATCTTTGTATATCTTCACCAAGGCAAAACCTTTCCTCAAGAAATGACTAAAGATCATTTCAAATCCTAGTAAAAATGGAAGTTAATAATAAAAAAAATTAAAGGGAAAAATGTAGAATATAAAGATTTCTGATACTTTATGAACTTATAGGAGAAAATGAATTAAACAGAATAGTTATTACAGATAAAAAATCTTATAACATATGATAGATTTTTTTTTAAATTCCAGATACACTAATTTCTTCCACCACCTTTCTTTCCTCTCTCCCTTCCTTTCTTCTCTCTCCAGCATCAGCATGTAAAAACATATAGATTCAAAATGACATATGAAGCAAGTAAAATTAAGCTAATAATCTTTCCCATGGAAAAACTGTAAACCAAATAAGAAATTTGGATAAACTCATGTTTTATCATTATGTTGTAAACATTGTCATTGTTCTTAGGTTTTATCAGGATACAAATAGCTGGATTGAGGACACTCAGTTCCTATGGGGCCCCTCATTACTTATTACCCCAGTCTTGAAACAGGTAGGTTTTGAAAATAATAAATTTATTGCTTAAAGGGATATTTTATAACCAAATCTACACTAAACTACAAAACATCTTCATAATAAGTAATACTCAATAGAGTGTTTCAACCTAATAAATATCAAATTAAATTCTAAAATGTGGAAGACATTTTGAAAAATTATAAAAATATTAACTAGAATGTATAACTGGGAAGAAGAAAATTGCATACTTTACTTCTGAAAAAGAAAGCTTTATTTATAGACTCAAAATCAGATCTTATTTATAATAATAAAACTGTAATATGCTAATTAGACCAGACAGCCAAACGACCTTCCAGACGTCCTTCAGGCTGCGAGGGCTGAGGCAGCCGCCATGGTTGTGAGGGTTGAGCCCTTGCACGAATTTCGTGCATCAGGATTCTAGTACTAATGATAATGAACTCTCATTTAAGTAGACATAGATATTTAAATTTTACTAAGTTGTAAGTAAACTTACAAACTACATACATATTATTATGCTATATGCACATATAAAATTTATCTTGCTTTATTGTAGGGAGCAGAGACAGTGAGTGCATACATCCCTGATGCTACTTGGTATGATTATGAAACTGTAAGTAACCTTAATATCATAATAGACTCACAAGTATTATATTGTGGAACATCTTTACATGGAAACTTAAGTCCAAACATGTACCTTATCTATTTGCAGTATTTCTGTTATTGTTATAGAAAATGAATAATTTCAAATTTAAATAATGTGTAAAATTTGTGCATTTCATTGTAGGTGAACAAGTATATATTGCACATGATTAATATGAAGTTATATATTTTATATAAAGAGTTATATTATTTTCTAATTGTGAAAATATAAGGTCTGGAGTAATTTTAGAAGAGTGATGACATTTTAATACAGTTTCTATTTTGTATATTTATCTCATTGCCAGAAGAATGAGTATTGACCTAATCTTAAATATTTGTTTTTATATGCTACATTTAAACATTTGGGAAAGATTTTTATTTCAACTCTAAAAAGGTAACAGCAGCATTCATACACACATTCTATTTATTTAATTAAACAAGACATTTTGAAGAGTGTTTCTTTTAAAAGGCGTTATTTTGCATATCATTTATATTTGTTAAGTCCTTTATTTTTATAGAAACACTGATTTTAAAAAATCATTTTTAGAAACATAGTTAACTTTAAAACAAAGAATAAAATAGAGATACTTAAGATTATTGTTAATTACTGTAGCAGAGAAATAGATTTTTTCTGTTTTTTGTTTTTGTTTTTTTGTGTCTTTTTTTTGTTGTTGAGAAAATGAACCAATTTCCCCCCTACTTTGCTCAGTAAACTGAAACAAAAAGTGTTTTCTTTAAAAGTTAGCAAACAATATTTACTTGGATGACATTAATCACTCATACTAAAAATTATCTCTACATGTAAATTTTGATGCTTGTAAAATGGGGTGTAAAGTCTATACTACTAACAAAAAATCTTCTTTACTTCCAAATATTAGGGTGTAAAAAGACCATGGAGGAAACAGCGTATTAATATGTATCTTCCAGGAGACAAAATAGGATTACATATTAGAGGAGGTTATATTATCCCCATTCAGCAACCTGCTGTGACTACAACTGCAAGGTAACATGAAGAATTATAAACTACAATCTAAAATATAATTTATTTTAATATTTCATAATTTTTAAGAATCTAAGATTAATCTTTAGTTATTCATCAGAAGAAGTTTGACATATGGAGGAAATTCTAACCAACCATCATGGTTATAAAAAGAAGAATTAAATTGTGTATATTGATACAAATTTATTAATTTTAAAAATAGACATAAATATATTGGAATTTTATTTTCTGTGCTAAAAATGCATTGACATTCTTTATAGAATATGTATAATCAATTCTACAAAGTAAAGTTAATTAATGATTCATATAAAATATGAAATGTTAAAGTAAATTCTATACTTGATAAAGTATCAGTTTTTAAATATTTGGGTTTCTAATACCTAAATGTCACAATACTTTTTATTCTGCTATAGTGTTTTACTTTTAAGTTGATAAATAAGGTGGATAGTTCTGTTTAGATAAAGAACAAAATAGAAACTAAATTGTTCAGTAAGAGTAAAACCCAGAAATATTTAGGAAAAAATAAGAAACTTGAAAATTCAGGTGCTCCATCTTGCAGCATTCATTCAGGGTATGAGGACACAGAAGGCATCATATTGAATTCACATATTTCCTCATATTCTGCAACCCCCAACACATAGTCACTCACTATTCCTTACCCTGAGGTATTTTTTCATAACATTAAGACTATCTGGAATTATATTACTTATGTCTTTGTGTATGTAGTGTGTTTAATCTTCTAGTCTACAATTCCATGAAGGCAAAGACTTGACGTTTGACTACTTTAGTGCCCAGACAAATAATAGTATCTGGCCCCTAATAAACTGGCTTTCTATTTTCTCTAAACATTTGTTAAAGGAACAAATTAATGAGTGAGTGAATGTAATAGTAATTTCATTATTTTGGCATTCTAGAATGGTTTACTTTAATACTGTAACTGTTCTCAGAACAATGGATTATGCTCTAAAGCTGTATTATACAAGAGAAACATACATTTTGGTGAATGCATGCTGGAAGGAAGATAGTCTGTATAGAGCAGTTGCCTATACCATATAGCTTCAGGGGTATTATTTTAGGTTAAAAACCTAAAATGATATGTAACAAAAAAATTTTAGTGATCACATGCCTCATTACTTATACTAGAATTAGCTTCCTTTCTAAGATTATTAGAGATCTCATTAAGTGCTTACAAATGTTAGGCTTTTCATTACTTTGTATATAAGATGTGGCCTTGATACATTGCAATTTGGGATTAACTGAAATGTGACAAATATGTGATGTATTGAGCATTCATAAGATATATTTTATTCTAATTGAAATATACTGTTTCTGAAGTGCTGGTGTCTTAGCTTCAAAGAAATTCTGTATTTATTATATTCATTCCTTTAATTTATTTTATAATCTTACAAATTATTTCATCATTAAAAATTATTAATGAGCATAGACATGAATTTTATTAACATCTTCTCATCTGAATGTGGAATTCATACAAATCCATTAGTTTGAAATGGACATATTTAGAGGAACTTTTAATATTATAATTTATTTTTAATCATGTATGCTTACAAACTTACTTAACAGCCGAAAGAACCCTCTAGGACTTATAGTTGCATTAGATGAAGATAACACAGCAAAAGGAGACTTTTTCTGGGATGATGGAGAAACTAAAGGTAAGTCCCAAAGGGGATATGCTTCTTTTTTTATTACTGATTTCAGAGAGGAAGGGAATGAGAAAGAGAAATAGAAATATCAATGATGAGAGAGAATCATTGATAGACTGCCACATTCATGCTCCCCACTAGGGATCCAGCCATAACTCAGGAATGTGTCCTGACCAGGAATTGAGCCATGACCTCCTAGTTCATAGGTCAATGCTCAACCACTGAACCACGCTGGCCAGTCAAGAAGATATACTTTTAAATGTTCATTCTGATGACGGACAATTTTGACTTTATTAATGTAAAATTGCATTCACTTCAAAACTGTCACATGTTTTAATTTTTAACTCCTGTTTTTAATCTATTTTAAGGTCTATGTTACTTTATGAAATTTAACATTGTTATTTAAATTATATTTTAATTGCAATATTTAGTTTGGTCGATTGGATCAGTATAAATGTCTTTGACAAGTGTAGAGAGTTTATTAGATTATTCTTCTTAATTAAACTAGTTAAATCCACATGTACAAATCACATCAAATTTTCAACTATCTTACATGATTCTAGTGATTAAAAATAAAAATTTATTACTGTAAAAACAAAGAGAAATATATTTAAAGGTGCCAGATTATTTTATAAGAATGTTACTATATAAATGGTTAACAATTTATTTCACTTATTGTGTCTTTAATTTTATTTCATGAGTCCAAACTTGAGAATTCAATAAACCAAGAGAATAAAGAACCAATTCTTTCAAATATCTAATTATGTCAATAGTAAATATATCTGTTTGGCTATAATTTGTCTATTACAGTTACCTTCATAAGTTTGTGAAGTATTTGTATCCCATTTCTCTTAGTAGAGGGCTCTGAAGTATGTTTTTAATATATGTGTATACAAAATAGTTTAGTTCCTATTTTATAGGGCACTACTTCTCTGTGTAGTAAAGACTCTCCTGTGCCTTTAAACATCCAAATATTTCTAAATTAACTCCAAGAAGTAGTCTTCTTGGTGTGCTCTCTTAGAATTTGAAAATATGGAATCTATGAAAAAATCCTGTTTTATCAAGTTTCATCTGTGGGATTACCACAGTAGCTAATACTACAATATATCTGCTCTACATGCAGTCTTCCCCTTGTCAGTTGATGATAATTTCATCTCTACAAAATGCTGAAAACCCTAGAATTGATTCCTCTTTTCAACCTGGGAATTTTGCTTGGGTCTACCTTACCTGGGTTCCCTCATCAGGCCAGCTCTGTCATCATTAACATTTACTTTATTATTACATTAGTTATTTAAGTGTTTTATAGGTCTACTAGAGGTCTGGTGCACGAATTCATGCACAGGTGGGGTCCCTTGTCCTGGCCGGCGATCAGGGCCAATCAGGGCCGTCTCGCACAGTCCTGGGGGAGGGGGAGATAGCAGTAGGTTGGCCAGCCAGCCCAGATAGGTCCAATGGGGGAAGGGGGAGGGGTCAATCAGGGCTGGCCAGCAAGGGTGGGGGGGAGACCACGAAATGTTGGCCTGCCATGGGAGGTTGGCTGTGGGATTGCACTGACCACCAGAGGGCAGCTCCTGCATTGAGCGTCTGCCCCATGGTCAGTGCGCACCATAGTGACTGGTCAACTGTTCATTCTGTTGTTCGGATGTAATGGTCATTTAGGCATATATATATATATACTAGAGGCCCAGCACACGAAATTCATGGGTGGGTATGGTCCCTAGGCCTGGCCTGCGATCAGGGCCATCTTCCCCAGCTGCCCACAGCCAGCCCTGCTTTCCACTGCCACCCACCCCTGCTTCCCCATTCGTCATCGAGTGATTGGTGCCTGACGGCCGGGGGAAGAGGCCAAGAGGTTGGCTGTTCTCGCCTGAACTCTGGCCCTGACCCTGCTGCGAGTGGCCATCAGGTGATCGGAGCCTGCCAGCCGGGGAAAGAGACCAAGAGGTGGTCAGTGCGCCTCATAGTGACTGGTCCAGCAGTCATTCTGGTTGTTCTGCTGTTAGGGTCAATTTGCATATTACCCTTTTATTATATCGTATTATTATATAGGATAGATAGATTTTGTTAAATCAACCCTTTTACATTCTATTTACAATCCAGCAGGTAGAGGCATTCTTTCAAAAGATGATTCAAATCATCCCATCTCTGCTCAAGACCATATAATGCTTTTCTGTTTCACTCAGTTAGGATCAACAGTATTTAACAAGGCTTAAAGCACTCGCTATTACCTGCACTTTTGTGTGCACACGTCTTCTCTCTCTCTCTCTCTCTCTCTCTCTCTCTCTCTCTCTCTCTCTCTCATTATCCCCTGCAGCCCTCTATGTATCATTCTACTCCAGCACACTAGCCTTCTTAATTTTTCTCAAATACCTTAGAGCCTAAGAACACTAGAGTGAGCTGGACAATGAAAATAGGTGCCAAGCATTTACTACATAGAAATGGCATAAAAGTGGACTCCAGCAAACTAAATTATTTGTAAATGTCAATAAAAAATGTTGTTGAGAAAATACCTCTGCTGTTAGCACATGGAACTTGATTTTAAGATTATTTTTGTTTCTTTAATGATATAAATATCCCAAATATATTTATCTTTTCTACTTGTAAAACTTGATATTGGTAATCTACCTTTACATAGAAGATGAATGAAAATATGAAGGTATGATTGAATCAGTCAACTAAAGATGATATCTATATAATTATGTGCTTTCAAGAGATAAAATCACAGTTTTATAAATAATTAACTTGTAAGTAAACATACAAACAACAAAATGACCTTAAATTCAGGTTCTGATTCTAATTTTATTCCCTAGAATTCAAATTATAAGTAAATTAATGTTATTGAGAGAATTGTATAAATCCTAGGATCCCCTTTATATTTTTACTCTGCTTCTTTGAAAAAAGTTTGCTCATAATTTTGTTTCTCTGTTAAAGAAAAGTGTTGATAAAAATTTTTAATTTTTATTATAAGTTTTGTTTTCTCTGAATTTCCATAAACATTTTAGCAGTCTTTCAAAAATTGAACTAAACAAATGTGCACTCACTACCTTTATTTACTGGAAACTATACTACTGGGATTACTCTATATAGAGGTAAATAAAAAGCCTTAATTTAAGTGGAAAATTTGCTTTATTAATAAATAGTATTTTTTTCAAAGTTCTTTTTTGTTTCTTTTGTTAATCCTCACCCATTGACTTTTAGAGAGTAGGACAGAGGGAGGGAGAGAAAGAGAAACATGGATTGGTTGCCTCCTGCACACAGTCTGATTGGGATTGAACCTGCAACCCAGATACATGACCTTGACTGGGAATCAAACCTGTGACCTTCTGGGTCATGGGCTGATGCTCTAACCACTGAACATACCATCCAGGGCCAAAATTCTTCTGTTGTATAATTGTAAAAATAGAGCAGAAATGTTAACATTACAATGTGATCTAATAACTTATTTTTTTCTATTTCAGATACCATAGAAAATGGCATCTACATTTTTTACAAATTTTCTGTTTCCAATGTAAGCATTCTCCTTGGGCACAGTTAAATATATACCTCATTTAAGTCTGGGTTATGCCTTTATTATGGATTTTTTACATTGACATCCAGATTTCAATAGAAAGAAATGAAATAAATTATGAAATTAAATTGTTAAATTATAAATAAAATGTTAGCTTACATTTTAAAATATTTAAATGTAATCAGTAATTTAATGATGATGAATTGAAGCATAGATATTTTCAGACTTTTTAAAGTATTATGTCTGGTTTAAGAAACATGCTATAGAAAAATAATCTCAACTTACCTGAATATGTTTTTATATATCAGTCATAGCAATAGTTGTCATGGATTTAAAGTGAGGATGAAAAAAATAATCTATGGACAAGGTTACATTTTGAATAATTAATGGCAATGTTTCTTGTAGGTATTGAGTTTCTTTATATGTTATTTTTTATCCCAAACTAAGTTGTTCTTTAACATTAGGGCTGGAGTAGAAAGGTCATATATTAGTTGTAATCTTTGATAATAAATGTTTGGCATGTTTACAAAAAATTAAAGAGTTACTAATGGGCATATTTATATATGCTACTTGGACATGGAGAACTGGTGGGAATGGAAGGATAGATGATTGCTTCTCTTCCTATTTCATAATTGCATTGTTATTTCATTATGCATCCAAAGACCTTCTATTTAGTATAGAATATTATATATATATATATTTTGCAGAATATTAGATATCTCAGCTGCACACACTCATCATACCAAGAAGGAACTGCTTTAGCATTTGAGACTATTAAAATCCTGGGGCTCACAGACAATGTTATAGGAGTTACAGTG